GCAGTGCGGCGAAATGATGCCAATTCTCAAGTTGCGGCTCATTCGACGACACACGGCCACACAATCAAATTTGATAGGGCCGAAATTTTCGCAAGACGTGAGCCGATAATTACTTGAGTCATGGTTCACGGCCCCCGAATCCATAAGCAAGTGCAACGATTTGTCCAATCCATTTTCGGTGCTGAGACTCAATTTGGTCAAAGGAAGTCACCACTTGTAGAAGGGAAAGGCCACCGCGTCACCCTACGCCAACACTGGGGGGCCAGATGGCCGAGCAATCATCACGCCTGAGTCCACCTCACGTGATGAAAGCTCAGCAGGTCAGAGTCCGCATGCCGTCCGACAGACCACCAACATGCATGAAGACAATTACCATTAATGTTCTTTGTATGTTTGCAGTAATGACTGTATCCTATAGATACTGCGAACTCCTATGCATGCGCTACTTTATCCGCTTCTACTATCTGATTTTGTCCCTGATGACGAATCCTCGACGGATCTCGAAACGTCAGACGAATAAAACTATTATCTCAATGATCGAGTCGTCTTCTTATCAATTGTTTATATTGTAATCTTAATGCAAACATTACTCATATATGATGCTATCTTCGATGCATAAGTCACAGATTTCATATAAAATAAGTTATTATTCCAGCGATCGCGTCTGTTTGCTCTGAAGTATTTATCAGGCCTCGAATCATCGCTTGCAGCAGTACCTAGGTGGCCTTTCAGCTAATGTGCGTGACGTTTTCTCAATAAGCCTGCTTCGGATATGGCGCTCAAATACTACATAGAGTGAATTCAATACTGGTCGACATTAACGCACGGTTTTTTCAGGTTTTAACGAATCTAACGCTTTGACATTCCGACTTTTGACGCTACTAACAGGACTGAAAACTCAGCCATACGCAAAACTCCTGGTCAGACTGAAACGACTCCTTTCTATTATATTATATTAGCCAGCCCAGCATTAAGGGTATGCACACTTTTGTCCTAAAGCCGTTTTTTATAGAAGTAGGGGGAGAATTTGCGGTGAAAACTCAGACGAGCTGAGTACTTTCAGTGCCCACTATATGTCGTGTGAGATGTCATAAAAACGTGACAGGCATGAACAATATCTCAAATCTGTTTCATTAGCAAATATACTCACGTACTACCCACCACTGCGACAGCCTCGCTAATCATTTAATGACGTCAACAATAACAAATATTGTCCTCGGTCAGATTCATGTGTATGCTTATCTTTCTATGATGGTTTCTGAATGTGTTTAGCCCATGTGTAAGGAGTTATTTCAAACAAATGAATCAGCCTCGTTAAGTATCAGATACGCATGCGGAGGTACTTTTAATACATGCGAACAGCAGACAAACTTCAAACGACACCTATCACGAAACATACATCAAACGGAAGTCACTCATCCCTCTTTGACTTGGGGCTAATTTTCGAGCGATACGAAATGGCGCATAGGGGCCAAGAGATACTGACATGGCAATTTCTGGTACATTTGCCATCATATGCAATTTGTAGCCCACCAAAATTGATTAACAACCCGAGGCTCATACCAGTGGCCTTTGATCAGAAGTCTACCACTGTAACCATTGTGTCATGGGCTCGTTGTTTTGCCAGTTTTTATTTGACTATTTATGATCGTTGGTGACTGCGCCAAATCTCTATCAGACGAGTGAGATCCACTAACAATCCGTGAACGTTCGCCAACAAGTGTCAATACAGCAAGAAAACATTAAATCACAGATTTCAGGCAAGTGTTAGTTATTATTCCAAGAATTACGTTTATGTTTTCGGAAGTACTCATCAGACCTCGCATTTTCGCTTGTATCAGTACCCAAACCAACTTTCAGCTACTTCGGAGGTACGTTGAATACATGACAACTGCAGACAGGCTTCACATGACGCTATTTGATGAACCTTCACTCAACAGAAGTCTCTTATTCCGTACTGCCTTGAGGCTTATTTTCGAGCCATACGAAAAGATGTAGAGGCTTCAGTAGATAAGGCACATTCTCTTGCCGACAGATGCTGTAAAATTGAGAATAAGAAGACTGCTTACAGGACTAATAACTCTGCCATACACAGAAATTATAGTCAGACTTAGTCAAATCATTCCTGCTATAGTATTTTAGGCAGTCTGAAATAAAGGAGGTGCAAAGTTTCACCAAAAAGCACGATCTGTAGAGAATTAGGTAGAAAAGCCTGTGATTAAAGCGTAGACGAGTTGAATGCTTTCGGTAGCCACTCAATGTCGAGTGATCTGTCATAACAGCGTGATAGACGTGAGCAATGTTTAATATGTCTCAAGTTTGTCTGATTAGTAAATATATTTACGTGCTATCCACCGCTGCGACAGCCTCGCTAATAAATGGATGACGTCAATGCAAATAAGTGTTGATTTCTGTCGGATACAGGTGCGTGCTCGTCTTTCTATGCTGGTTTCTTAATTTTTGTGGCCATGCAAAAGGAGTTGTGTTTAAAAAAATGGGATTGGGCCTTGAGATGCACTCTCCAAATTACTTTCAATATATGACAACTGCAGACAAACTTCATAGAACACCAGCAGAAGAGCATTCAGTAACCGGAAGTCACACGGCCCGCTCTGCCGTGGGTCTCATTTCCTCTGTCTTGAGAATCATTCCCGCGTCATACGAAAAGCCGCAGAGGGCCAGTATCTAAGGCAGATCATATTGCCAGCCGAGACAAGGGTGACTGAGAATACATCCTATGGCACCTGAGAAGTCATTAAACATTCACACGCCATACCAGTTGATACATCACCCGAGGTTCGAACCTACGACCTTTCGATCAGACGTCTAACGCTCTAACCCTTGAGTCACGGGCTCGTTGTTCTGCCAGTTTTGTTCAGGACTGTTGATGCTCGTTAGTGAACGTGTACAAATCGCTATCGGATGAAGGAGTTTTGTTAACGATCGGTGAACTTTCGTCAACAAATGTAAACACGACGAGACAACTCTGAGTGCCATAAACATATTCTTGTTCTGAAAGCCGTCATGAGTAAAAGGTGATTTATGTCCTAAAATTGTCACTCGTCATAGTTATAAGCATCATGACGAAGGCAAAAGAAAAATATAGCTATTATCTAAAGAGTAAATTTGAAAAACCCCATAAATGCTCTACCCTGTAATTGCCATTCCCTAGCAAATAGTTTCTGATCTAAAAGTGCAAGCCCCATTGTAGAAATACACAAAATGAGTGCTATTGACTTATTTTTCAATTGCAAATTTTCAAAATTGCAAATTTTCGAAATACGTTTAAAATGGCCCTTTCGTTTGTCCCGCCCTCCAATATTACATGGAATTGAAAAAGTAAGAAACTTTTTTTCTGATTAAAAGCGGTTTTGATACGAGCGTTACTGCTTGTCCATATTATGCAATTAAAGATAAAATAGTTCAACCTCCAGTCCCCCGGCAAACTTTGCTTAGCAGTATTTTTTTAAATTTTAACTTCTGAATTAACAATAAAATGTTAAACCAAATGTGAAGTGATACTTTTATAGCAGGTGTAGATGTCCTGATTTTATTCAGAGTAAAATATCATTTTTATAGGCAATGCACATGTTCTTTCTAGAACTTCCGGCTGATTTGGTAGATATGCCGTTGGTCGTATCTGATATTAATCTTTAAATGCCGCTTGCCTATTCAGTAAACTATTTTTAAATGATTTATTTACCAGCCCTCTATTTCATAGTGCAATTGTCAATTTTCCATGAGATACGATGTAAGCAAAGGTAATAAAAAATTAAAGGACTTCATTTCAGGCAGGTTATTACTGCACTGTAAGTACTGAACTACAATATGCCAGATCAGATATTTCTGGGCGCATTTACTCGGTAGTCGACATTCTTAATAGCGGTAGTTCTGACATGTATGTTGCAAATACTTCCCTTTCGTAGTTTTGCTGTAGCACTGGGAAGACACCTGTTCATAAATTGTCACTAGCCTACAAATATATTGATTATTCGATCGAAGGCAGCCCTTGTGTTAGCCCATATCGGAGATGACTCCATCGTTTACCTGATCCTGGTACGCGGAAATTTTTCTACGTTTGCAGATGCATGTTCAGAACTTTCACAGGCAGCACCATTGTACCATCAGTAACCTATCTCGAAATGAAAAGCACAACATTAAAAAATGGATACTTTCGTTGTTTCGTTTAAAACAAGCGGCGCCCAAACATTTTATAGGCAAAGCCCCCGTACTTAGAAGTACATATAGTAGGTGATCATAGAAACGATAACCACTGCAAAACGTTACTATAAAAGGCCCAAATTTATCACTAAAACGCGGCATCTACTTCTGCTCACCGATCCTAGTCTTGTGTTCCTTATCAATAAGTGTTTTGGATTTTCAAAATGAACGTTATTTGCAATGATGACGCATTCAGTGTTGGTAAAAAACACATGCTAAAGTAAAACTTTAAAGGCATCACAAAAATGGTTTTGTATTTCCTACGCACAACGTTTAAATTGCGTCTCTCACCCCCATATGGACCTTAGGAGCTGCCGTTGCAAACACA